CCTTGGGGAGAGTGATGAGCCAACAGTCTTTTCAAACAGTCTTTTCAAACTACAAGGACAACTGGTTGTTTACCCTCTGGTCTTTACAATGGACGTAAACAACAGTTTCCTGTGTCATTCTTAAGACCAAAAGTTAAAACTCAGAACTTATATTTTTACCTACAAAGACATTAAAAGAAAGATACATTATTCACACTCTTTCTCAAACAAAAATACATTCAGCAGAGTTGGGGATTGTATACCACTAAATTGAGTATGAAATGATGAAAAGTAAGATATTTTGTGAATTGGTATCAGTTATAGATTTCTATCAGAAAGCAAATGTTTTCACACAAGTTTGTATCTCAGGGAAATGAATAACTGAATACACATATATCTTCTATGGTTCCTATCCAGGACATTATAGGTATAATCAAATATATATATCTGGATGAGACGTATATTTTAATACCTGAAATCACCTTGGGTTCTACCCGAGGTGTGAGTCATCATAAATACTCAAATCGTTTTGTGATCCCTAACTGCCCCCTGGTGGACAGGTGAGAGATAGCTTAGGTACATACACTTCTCGACCGGCCAATCAAAAAGCCTGTTGGGAGGGTCTTTTAGAACAATAGTTTAGATGGTATAAAAAAGCCATGCACCTCATTTAGAGAGAACTCACTAAGAAAAAGACACTGAAAAAACACACACTGAAAAAAAACACACTGGAAAAAAAAAGAGAGAGCCAAAGAAAAACAAGCGGAAGAAATCTGACGAGGCTGAAATCCATCCCTGCTGAAGAACCACTATTTCATCCTTTCAAACTTTTAAACTTTCTACTAAACTTCTAAACCTCTGAATTTCTACCACCTATCTCTCACTTGCCCTGCGGCCATTATTCTGAAGGCGTTTCCATTGCCAGCTGAATCCACTGGGGAGGCATCATCCAGGTTTTGGGTGTGGTGAGACTGTTTAGATCTAATATTGTATTGCATATTTCCTCTGTGCTTAGAGTGATAATAACTGCATTGGGTGTTTATATATATATATATAGAGAGATCCATGTATTACTGCTAAAATTGTTGGTGTCAGTTTTAAAAGTTTACATTTGCCTAAATCATTAATTGGTATTGGTTAGAGTATAATTTATCAGGGAATATTTTCTCCCATTCCTATGGCCAAGTTTTGGAAGAAAATGACCTCTGAGACACTCTAAATTATCATTTATTACTAAATTTAATTTTTAATCATTATTATCTAGAAATATTGTAATCTGTATTACCATTATCTAGAAATATTGTATTGTGTATAATATTGGTATAGTATATCTTTGATCGTGTGTACCAGTATTCATTCATCACCAGTCTTTTGCGTTTTGTGTTAATATATATATAAATTTTTGTACATAAATAAATTTATATATTTATCTATTATAAGGCAAATTTTGTGTGTATGGTACGAAATCATACTGGCTAAAAGGATTCAAGGTATAATAATAAGTGGTGATCAAATTATTGGTTCATTAAATATTTGCCGTATTTGACGGCTGGAGGCACTGTAATATTTTATTTAAGGGAAAGGGACACCGCCCTTTATAAGTAGAATAAATCCTTACATAAACCACCACACTCTGCCTTCCACATAGGCACCTTCAGTCTTCCTTCTGCCCTCCACATAGGCACCTGCAGATTTCCCTCTACCTTCCACATAGGCACCTGCAGCCTTCCCTCTGCCTTCCACATAGGCACCTTCAGTCTTCCTTCTGCCCTCTACATAGGCACCTGCAGATTTCCCTCTACCTTCCACATAGGCACCTGCAATCTTCCCTCTAGGCACCTTCAGTCTTCCTTCTGCCCTCCACATAGACACCTGCAGCTTTCCATCTACTTTCTACTTAGACACCTGCAGCCTTCCATCTACTCTCCACATAGACACCTGCAGCCTTCCATCTACTCTCCACATAGACACCTGCAGCCTTCCATCTACTCTCCACATAGACACCTGCAGCCTTCCTTCTGCCCTCCACATAGACACCTGCAGCCTTCCCTCTCTATACACACCTGCAGTCTTCCTTCTGAACTCTACATTCGTACCTGCAGCCTTCCATCTACTCTTCCCTCTAGACACCTGCAGCCTTCCTTCTGCCCTCCACATATGCACTTGCAGCCTTCCTTCTGCACTCTCCATAGACACCTGCAGCCTTCCTTCTGGCTTCCACCTAGGCACCTGCAGCCTTCCCTCTGTCTTCCACATAGGCACCTGCAGCCTTCCCTCTGCCTTCCACATAGGCACCTACAGCCTTCCCTCTGCCTTCCACATAGGCACCTTCAGTCTTCCTTCTGCCCTCCACATAGGCACCTGCAGATTTCCCTCTACCTTCCACATAGGCACCTGCAGCCTTCCCTCTGCCTTCCACATAGGCACCTTCAGTCTTCCTTCTGCCCTCCACATGGGCACCTGCAGATTTCCCTCTACCTTCCACATAGGCACCTGCAGCCTTCCCTCTGCCTTCCATATAGGCAGCTTCAGTCTCCCTTCTGCCTTTTACATAGGCACCTTCAGTCTTCCTTCTGCCCTCCGCATAGACACCTGCAGCCTTCCATCTACTCTCCACATAGACACCTGAAGCCTTCCATCTACTCTTCACATAGGCACCTGCAGCCTTCCATCTACTCTTCACATAGGCACCTGCAGCCTTCCTTCTGCCCTCCACATAGACACCTACAGCCTTCGTTCTGCCCTCCACATAGACAACAGCAGTCCTCCTTCTGCCCTCCACATAGGCACCTACAGCTGGGGGAACAGCCCTCTCCATTGACACCTGTCTCCATAACTCTGGAGATTCTTTGTAGAAGCTAACCTTGTTCCAAGAAACACACACACACACACACACACACACACACACACACACACACACACACACCCCCCCCCCCCCCCTACTTTGCACTCAATATAAGAGAAGGTGTCTATGGGTACAATGTGCAGGAGATGGATCTTTAAATGTCTAGTTTATTACCAAACTTCTGACTGCCATCTAACATCTAAGATATTGACAAAATATTAGAGGATTAGTTTACCTTTACCAACAACTGCCTATGCAGATAAGTGGCATTTGTAGATAAAAATAAGCTGTGCCGTTCTGACTAAATAATTGAATAATATCCTTGCTATAGGTGTAGGCCATTTACATACTTCCTGAAGCCTGATTGGAATACTCCCAGGACATTGCTGAGAGGCCTAGTCATTACTGCTCACCTCCACCATTACAGGAATGAGCTCCTTCCCAGATTTAAAGCCCCTCACATGCTCTTTCTCTCCCCTGATGTAGTAGCTCTGAGCTCAGGGCTTGAGAGCTCACTCCTGTGAAGGTGGGATGACTAGGCTTCTCTTAGCAATGTCCTAGCAATGTTCTGGGGAGTATTCCAGTCACTGCCCCTTCTCTCCACCTCATCCATTAGAGAAAGCCTTGAATTCAATTAAAAAATTACAAGGCGTTCTATGAATGGCAGCAATGTTGAGTGAGCTACCCCCTGTGTCAGTATGCAGAGGAGAAGCCACTTGCATAGGCTTTCTCTGATTGGATAAAGTTAAGAGAAGAGGCAGTGACATCATGATCTCTACCTCATCCAATCAAAAAATGCCATGTACTCATTGAGAAAAATACAAAGCATTCTATATATGGCAGCAGTGGAGTGATTAACCCCTGTGGAACAGAGGGGGGCGCTCACAGAGAATCTAAACAGGAACTGGAAGATCGTGGCTATCCATATATTAGAGCTGACTACTACAGCGATTTACAGCTTCCCCAGCAGAGATATCAATACCTGCATTGTGCCAAGCTGGACCAATGTAAGTAAGCAAAAAAGATCATTCCTGGAGTTCGGCTTTAATACTTACCTTACTGAAAGCACTGTTATGCACACTCAGGACCTGGGGGACAGTATGTGGTCCCAACATGAGATTAGGCAGTAAACCGGAAACGTAGCCTCTCAATTCCAACCTTCTTCTCCAGAGTTGGCTTCAGGCAAAATAAAGCTTCATAAGTAAATCTACAAATTTCAAATCTAAGAAACTCTATTCAGATTATTGCTCAACTGTGAAAGTATAATTAAGGCAAAACTCTTTCTTGGTTTTGTATAGAGCGTAGAGGGAGATTCACCCTCATGACCTGTCCTGGTGACCAATATCACCAAAAGTGAAAGAAAGTCTCTAATTTTGGGTTGTCACCAGAATAGGAATAGAGTGGAAATTTTCCAATAGGTACACCCAGGAATCTCTTTCACTTTGGAGGGATTATCTCCAGTTCCTGCTTTTGGCTATGGAACAGGAAGTGAGGGGAAATCTCCCCAATAGGATACAGATGGTAAAAAAAACCCTGACGGGGTTATAACCCTCCCTCATTTTATCCAAAATGAAAAAAGGTTTTTACTCCAGTTATAATTTAAACTGCTACCTTTACAGAAAAAATGTCAAGGAGAACTAACACTGGACAACCTGCCAACTACCCCGGTCCCTGCTGTACTTGCCTCCAGAGTTGCCAAGCTGTCGACACAGCTGGTCCAGTGGTCTGTGGATTTGAAACCTCCGCTCTTCTCCATTGGCGCCTCAAGGGTGGACCAGGTGGATTCTGATTTGTTACATTCACATTGACAGTGCTGACCAATCAGAATCCATCTGGTCTGCCCTGGAATCACTGATAAAGTAGAGGTAGAACATCTAGGAAGGGGGAGGTTTGCTGACAGCTCGGCAACCCTAGAGGTAAGTACAATGGGAACTGGGGGGGGGGGGGGTTGGGATTGTTAGCTCACCTTCATATTATTTCTGTAATGGTGAGCTAGCACTTTAAAGAGCGTTGTTAACATTTTGTGTAACTTCTCCCCCACGCTCCATGAATTTGAAGCTGCACAGGGGTGAAAACCGAGAATGCTGTAATTATTTCCACCATTTTTATAATGCATATTATTTGTTCTTTTTGTGTCTTTGACGCTCGGCCATGGTAATAATCTGTGCCCACTCACTTTGTGCCAGGGTGACGGTGCCGGGTGAACTGATGGAGACTTGGGTGGGGATTTCGGTGGGACACTCCTGGGTGGGCAGGCTGAGGATGGCGCTCTCCCCCAATAAGTTACATATTCGCTGTTGAAGAGGCGTAAGCATGACCGGTGGCGTCCCCACGTCCCCCTCGCCTTCCACTGCAGCGCGTGCCTGGGACATCTTCCTGCGCACCTCTGTCTTCAGATCAGACCACTTTTTCTTCACCTCCGCCAACTCGCGGTGGCATGTGCTAATAGCGTTGACGCGCTTCAAGATGTCATACCAGGCATTGCTTTTGGTCATCAGGGGCACCCCAGCGTTGTAATGGTTAATGAGGATGTGCTTCTGCTTCTCCATCTCCTCCATGATGATCTCCACTTCTTGCTCCGAGAAATTGGTCTTTCTTTTCTTGGCTGGCGTAGCCATCGCCGCTCCGACGGTCGGGAATAAGGCCGCAATACGTAAACTGCGTAAGCTGGGGCGGCAGGGAACCTACGCAGCGTAACGGCTTCCAGAATCTGCCTCTTTATGGCGTCTCTACGCAATCTTGCGAAGGGAGGACGGGTACTGCCCACACGGGCGATTGTAACACTTGATTGGCTAACTCCGGTGTCAAAATTAGCCTCTCCCCCTTTCATTCGCCTTAGTATTCTTGATTGCGTAACACTGCCGTCAGTCACTAATCCAGCGCCTCCATTGGTCGGTGTAATTACCAGGGATTTTTATCAAAGTGGTTTGTGTGAATTGGAGACATCGTCGTTTCTGTATCAGAAGTAGAGCGTTCCATATAAATCCTGCACGTGGAATTAAAGCTGGGGATATAGTCGGAGTTTTGTGAAGTTGAGTTTCCCTCGCAATGCCCGAGCAGCGATTGGTTGTTAAGTGTACAGCGAGCCAATGGGCTAGTGCTGTGTGTTAGCGTCACACCGGTTGGGCGGGGTATGCAGGACGATGTGGTAGGGGTGTGGCGCTGACGTCAGGGGGGTGTGAGGTGATGCGCTTCCTGCCGCCATATACCGGCGTTAGACGAAGAGAACTGTGAGGTGCTCGGCTGACGACTTCTGCCCGCTCCCTCGTGCTCTGTATCTCGGCGTCCCGTCTATGGCCCGTCCTCGCTCGCTGGTGTCGCCGCTGCTGAGCGGGGTGTTCTGTCAGTGTGATACATTGGGGGGAGCCCCGCACACACACGAGGCCCACTCATCCTCATCGGCTCTGTCCGCTGCCCTGTCCGCCGACCCGTGCGGGGGAGTCCTGTGCGGGGGGCCCGAGCACGAGCGCCGCCTACAAATCCTCTTCCAGGAGCTGGACGTCAACAAGGACGGCGCCATCTGTATCGATGACTTGGCCGTGGGGCTTAAGAGGCTCGGGGTGCACCGGACCGAGATGGAGCTCAGGGTAAGAACCACTGCCATTGTGAGGATGGGATCGGGACTACAACTCCCAGCATGCCCTGCGGGTCCACCGCTCTGGAGAGCACTCTGGGACTTGTAGTTCTGCATATGTACCATGTGTCTTTACGAGAGGCTAGCAAGTGATCAGTGGAGATGTCAGTGGGGGAGGGCCCCTCAGGGCACCACCTTGGATACTTGACTCTGGATAAATAGTACCAGTCAGTTCTCAGGGATCTCCACACTATGTCCCGGGGGCCATATTGTTTGACTCACGGATGTAAGAGGGGGCTCTGCTCCGGTCCCTGGTGTAAGGAGGGGGACTGGTGTAAGAACGGGGGGACGACGTTAAGGGGGGAACCCTGGGGAGAGGGGGAACCTTGACCGACTGGGGAGAGGGGGAACCTTGCCCCCCCCCCCATGGATGATTATTTGAGATTTGTGTTACTGAGGTGTTCTCTTTTGCTCTAAATCCTATCATGCTGAATAAAAAAAACCAAGTAAAACATTCATTCATTTACATTGATTTGTTCATTGATGAAAGTGATATATTTTGTTTCTGGCCCTTGAATTTTTGTAAAATATATGATGTGGCCCTTCCTTGAAACAACCGGTGAACTAGAATATGGAATGGGGGGGTGTAAAATGTTAGTAAATTTACTCCCCCCCCCCCCCCCCACCCCCCCTATTGATGCTGTCTCCTGGTCCAAGTGATGTTATAGGAATGACAAGGATGGGATCTCTGCACTGACTAGTGTATACAATGTATCAGTGCGGAGATGTTCTGCCTCTCAGATCAGGAATGTAGATACATTACTATACAGCATGTTTTAGCGCCAACTGTTTGCGCATCACTTTACAAAATGAATTGTACAAAATGGCAGAATTTCCAGTTACAATACAATTTGCTACAAGAGGTAACAGTGGGCTCCACTCGTTTGTTTACAATCTAAGAATATTGTAAGGTTTCACTAGGAGAATGTTCTGTGTATGAAGGCACACTTAGCCCCCATTTACGCCGTGTAGAGCATTTTGGGGTTGTGGGCAGAATCGTGGCGAGAAATGTGAACAGTCTCTAGGCTAGGTTCACACCTATGCAGTTTGCGGTTGATACGTTCTTTCATGTGCGGTTTGCGTGTTTTCACACGTTTGCAGCTGCTTTAATGTGTTTTTCATGCATTTTTAAGATGTTAATGTTAGGGAGTGGTGTGTGTTATGCAGGAAACACACCAAGAACACATGTGCATGCGTTTCTGTGTTTCCACTGAAGTCTGGAACCAAAAACACAATCTGCTGCAAGCAAACAAGTTCCTGACCCTTTTTAAAAAAAAAAAAAAAAAATAACTTGCATAGATGTGAACATGACCCATAGGAAATCCATGTTAAATGGACTGTAGTGTGTTTCTGCAACTCTGAAAATGCACTGCAAGACACATGGGTGCCTAACTTTAGGCTGGCTGTACACTTGTAGAAAATTCTTTGTATATCCAATGAATGGCTGGATGTCATTGGAAGATTTCGCTTGCTTTTAACAGCGCACAGATACGCGCAGGCCCTAAAAGAATGATTTTTATTCTGATTGATCTCTCCTGATAGTGATTTTATATGCAACAATCCATTCAGTCAATACGACACCCACAGGAAAGTGGATTTCCATCAATGGTAACATATTCCAATAATCGATTTGCATGTGTTTTACCGTGTAATCTCATAATCTGGTAATTGAAATACAATCGTATTACTGAACAAAGTATCTGAGTGCTGTGGATTCATTCAAAAATCCTTAATAATCCAGCCTGGCCGATCGACTTGATTTGAAAATTGAGTTGAAGGCTAGGTTCACACTGTTGCAGTTTGCGTGAGCCTGGCAGCTCATTCATTTGAAAGGGCTGCTCTGCCTGCGTTTTACACAGGAAAAAGGTTCCTGCAGAATGTTCAAAGCGCAGCTGCTCGGAAATCAAAAAGGTACCATGCGATGTCCCTGAACCCACAAATGTGCTGTTTGTTAGATGCATGGGGGTGCCATTATGAATGACAGCCCTGCATGTTTTGGCTGTGGGTGGTTGCAGATATTGGGACAGCTATGATTCCACCATTCATAGTGTAAACCTAGCCTAACTCAATGGGAAGAAAAGTTATCGCTATTTGTACAGTCTTGATCGACGTACACTGAACAGATGAGGAAATTGTACAGTGTATTGCCATCATAAGGGTGACCATGTATTCCACAATCTGATTGTAGTCCCCCTCATGGTGACCATGTACGTGTTCTGTTTTGATCGATCTCCTCTGATATTTATAAATAGCAATACAGTCAATTGATTTGGACACACAGGGAAATGTATATCTGTCGATTTGTTAAAGCAGACCTTCACCCTACTTGTGAAATTGCCCTTTCCAATTTTTATTTCTTAAGATTTTTAATTGTAGCAGCACCTCAACTGTCACTGCTTGACTCATGCACAGATGTGCTGCCAGGGCTCAGTTTCTGAAAGAGCCTTGCGGCACATCTGCACATGTGCTGGAGTACCTGGTATCTGTTCATATGCGGGTGTTGCTGTGCATGTACAAAGACTGCTAACAGGGTCTTTGGGCATATGATCATGTGCTGGCAGGCTCTGCCAGGACCCAAAGGCCAGACAGCCAGTGGGTGTGTTTGCACCTCCACCATACTGGCAGTGCCTGGGTGGGGGATGGTGGAGCCACTTACTGTGGCGGAATAAAGCTCAATTCCACCATATAATCTCATGTTATGGATCCAAATACTTTGCTCATAAATATGATAGTATCTCGGTGCTGACAATTAAATATGTGGGAAGGGAGGTTATGGATTTTTGTTTGTGGAATTGATTGTTTTGATTGAATCTCACATTGATTGGAAGAAAAATTGACATTTTGTAACTATAATACTACACAATCTGATTGTATGGTGGCCATGCACACTTCAATAAATCAATTTTCCATTGACATCTGATGAGAATAATTTTTTTTTTTTTTTTTTTTTTTTTAGTCATTAACATTTGGTCAATATGCCACACACAGGGAAGTGGATTTCAATTGCTAGTTTCAAGGTACAATTGTAAGTTATCCATTACATCTGTTTCCACCATACAATCTCAAACTCCGTGATTTGAAGTACAGTCCAATTCATGAGCGCTGTGCTACCGACCGATGCAACAACAGTCGATTATCTTAATGTAAAGCAATGGGAATGGGAAGGTTTTGTTATTTGTTCCAGTTTTTTGATCAAATTTCACATCAATCAGATTATTATACAGGATTTATATAGCGCCAACAGTTTTGCTCAGCGCTTTACAATAAAAAGGGAGACAATACAGCAACAATACAGTTCAATATAAGAGGGTTAGCAGGGCCCTGCTCCTTGGAGCTTACAATCGAAGAGTATTGAAGTGTATATGGCCATCATTTGCTCTATCAACTGTGTAGTGTATCAACTATCTGATTGGATTATTTAAGGTTGTCATCCTAATATATAGTTTTATAAAATAGATTGTATAGTGTATGGCCAACTTTAGAATTTAATTACAGCTGAATTAAATCAAAATCAGTCAGCACTCACAAAAATGTGTTAACGCAACTAACAGTCCCAAAAGCACATGGTGTCGTTCACAGGGGAGTACTGATCCGTACTCCCTTGCGAAGGGCTTCCCCAGCCCAGGATGTGCGAGCAACCTGTTGAAATCAAAGCTGGGAAGACAGCTGAACAGAACACCACATGCATCCTGAAGTGCACTTCCTTGCCGGTCCAATGCATGGATCAGGATGCAGACAGACTGTGTTCTGATCCATGCATCGGACCTGCACAGATGTACAATCTAGGATGTGTGTGAGGTCCCTGTAGCCAGCTTGCCTGCCATTGATTTCAACAGGTTGCCTGCACGCTACTGCACAGAATGTCTGCATCCCAGTCAGCTGAAAACAGACCTTTGCATGGTTGTACAGATCACTATACCATATGGAAGGCCTGAGTTATAAATCTTCACTGTGATCGTGCATGTGAATGAGGTCAACCGTAAC